TGCATAAATTTGTCAGCTCTTATGCACCGAATCGCGAATAGCCCTATTTTTTCCCATGTATTTTGTTGTTGTGTGTTTGCAAGTTATGCAATCCGTGCAAGTCGCGCTACATGCAAGGGCTTTGCAAGACTCGGAGAATACCCCTATTGTTCGGTACTGTGTTTATTTCCAGCACACACATGACTACAAGCAGTTCCCATAAGCTCAATTTAGGTCCGCCTGTTGATTAATTGTTGCTAATTCTGCCGAAAAATTAAATTATTCTCAGCATTTTCAGGAAGTAATCAGTCCGAGAGAACACTGTGGCACTCCAAACTGTTGATCCCAGTTGATGAAAAGTGGGGTTTTAGGGTACCGCTGGAATTACACCGAATTGCCGAAGTTCCGCTTGGAAAATCACTTTGGCTCAACGCATTCTTGGTCTATACATACATACTTAGTTTCAAATGTTATTTGGGAGCTTTTGCGAAAGCAGCCAACCTACTCTTCACTGATGAAAACTGGCTACCTGCAATCTAGTTAGAAATGCCTGCCACTCCATTAAACTGAACATTTTATCCGTCCGTTTGATTGTTAAGAGCGCGGTGGAGTGATCTGGTAGAAATAACCTAGCAAATTAAATGCAATTGAAAATGGCTTATAAAGAAGCTTGGAATACAGAAATAAGGCCAAAGTGTGCCTGATCGTGCTTATTTCATAAAGAGTAAGACAATTTTTGAAAGGATAAAATTTGTATTCCAAAGATAAATTGAGCAATGCGGCCGCTGTGGTCGAGTGGTTAGAGGTGCGTACTACCACCCCGTGGGAACTGAGTCCGATTCCTGCTCCGAGCAACATCTGAAATTAGAAAATTGTTTTCTTTTGCTCTTCGGCAGGCAATGGCAAGCCTCCATTTGCCGTTCGGAAACGGCGTAAAAATCTAGGTCTCAGGACGCGCACCACAAATTGGAGGATATGCTTGGCCAAACACATAAGCGCCAAATATTTGTTTTTGTTTTTTTTTTTTAACCCTCAAGGAAACCATGATACGTCCCTCAGACTTATGGTTATCTTCTCAGCAACTTTCAGTAGGATTATCAAAGAAGGGTCAATTGAACAAGTATGTATATATTATTTATATGCCCCGCCGAAAATTTGAATAATTTTAAAAATATTGGGGGACGCACATTAGCCCCAAGTATACTTCTTTCCACCAACTTTTCTCGTACATACATATATAATAATAATAGATTGGCTTATCTAACAAATACCATATAGTTAATACATATTAATGTATGCCCATTCAAGCGTCTAAAAAGCCACAGAGCTCGAATTCTTTCACTGTACGCTGGAGAAACGCGCGATATTTTGGATTTTCTACATTTTGGCGTCGCATTTGGTCACCTTCTTCAGTGCGCGTGGTAAGGTTTTCCAATTTTTCATCTCCCGTTGACTCCATGAAGATAAGTGGAGTGAGACAAGTGGCGGCGATGACTCCTGGAATTTAACGACATTATAACAAATGTTGATTTTAGCAAATTGCACACAAAAACCTGTAGGTTGTATGCAGAGAAGATTGAAGTTTCATAAGAAGTGTGATATCAAAACGTGTACTACGCAAATTTGCAATTTACATACTTACATATACACATAAATGTACAGTGGCGGGCAAAAATGGATGAATATTTTTCAAGCTAAAATTTGTTTGATATTTTTTTTTGTAAAAATATGGTTCATGCTTTAATAAAAACTTTATAAATTTTCGAGCTTTATACAGAACTTAGAAAAATTCCATAAATTTTTATCTAAATTTCGTGCTTTTTAACCAGAATTTTTAGAATTTTTTTGGGTATGCAGTTAACAAGCTTATAAAATTCTAGTAAAATAAGTGCAAGTTTTGAGAGGTTAAAAACCGCATTGATTTTTAATAATGACGGATTTTCGGTTTTTTTAATATAAAAAGCGAAATTTAGGAAAACTGGCGTTGATTTTTATCGCAAAAGATCTTGCGCATATTTTTCAACATAAAATTCATGTTTTTATGGAAAAAAGTGCAAAACGCTGTCTACAAAAATTATTAAAAATGAATATGATTTTTTAGCCGCTCAAAACTTGCACTTATTTTACTAGAATTTTATAAGCTTATTAAAGCTGCATACCCCGAAAATTTCTAAAAATTCTGGTTTAAAAGCTCGAAATTTAGATAAAAATTTTGTGGAATTTTTGTAAGTTCTGTTTAAAGTTTGAAAGTGTGATTTATATAGTTTTTGTTAAAGCATGAACCATATTTTTATAAAAACAATATCACAAAAATTTTAGCTTGAAAAATATTGTAAATATTAAAAACGAAACACCATTCATCCATTTTTGCCCGCCACTGTATGTATTTCGTAACAATTCCAAACACCATTTTTGTATAATTTTAGGCAGTTACCGTTAACTCTCAATCTTACCTTGCAGGCTGTTCTTTATAAGCTCGATGTTTATGTCCTTCAACGTCGGTATCTCGCCGTCGTAGTGGAGCTTCTCCAGCGTTTCTTTCAAAATTCGATGGTATTCACGCACTATATACTTGAAATGCACTTTCCGCACATTCTCGTTAAGTGAGCCGAAGAGGAAATAGTTCAGATCCACTGCCGGTGAACCATAGTACGACAGCTGGAAATCTAACTGTAATAAAATAAGAAAACGATAAATCTATGACAACATAGTTTCTTTTCATGCTACTTAGGATACTCACCAAAACCACCTCATCGGGTTCCTTTGTGTCATTGTTTATATGGAACATCAAATTGTCAATCCACAAATCAGCGGAATTGAAAACGCGGAAGCCTTGGTCGTGGCATTCGTACATTTGCACTGCATTCTGAAGCACAGTTTCGGCCAATTTAAACATTTTTTCAGTGATCTCCTCGTAGCCCTTCCAATGTGTCAGCTCCTCAGCTACGCAGCGTATGTTCACTGGAAAAAAGCCAAGGAAATCCTTGCGATCTGGATTCCTAGAAATGGGTGCTTCGTGGAAGATCTCCAAAACTTCAGGCGTCTCTTTGGCTATAACAGCAGAACACGCATGGAGCTTTGCCAATCTCTCGATGGCCGGCAGGGTGTAGTCCAGGTTAAGCAAGCGGCCCTTTTCGAAGTTTTCAAAACCTGTTAGTTGCATATCCTCCAGCACAACGAATGGCTCAGGAGTCTCGGTGGTATAGTAACAGGCGGGAGCAATTTTCGTCTTGTCAGCAATGGAAGCAAGCAACTCCTCAACGCGGGGCAAAATTTCTTTGTAGGCCACAATCTCGCGCTTGAACAGTTTGCTCTTGTGTGCGACGACGCCAGTGTAGCCCTTGGGGTGATCCTGAGGTGCCATTACGTCCGTACGTGAATAGAATATTAGCACTAAGTACATACATACAATGTATATATATGCCATACTCACTTTGATAATCACGGAGAAGCGGCCGGTGCCGTCTTTCCGCGCCAAGTTAAAAGTGGCGCGGTGCATTTCGCTGGCGTAGCCGCTGCCCACATTCGCCCCGCCCAGTGCGCTCTTCACCACAATCTCGCGTACCTCCAAAGTGTCGTCCTTGAAATATTCCTTTAGCACATCCTGCAGAAACTCAGCTGTAATCCATTCTGGGGGCTGGTAGTTTTTGGCACCCGTTCCCATGGTAATAGCAGAGTAGATCTACAGCAAATCGCATTTTTTATTAAATATTTCGTTAACTTCATTTTTCCACGATTAAAAATTTATGATTTTTCTATTTAGTCACCTGATTAAACTGAACTCCCTTGCGATAAGTGTCCGCCCGTCGATGTGTAGCTGAATCGTTGCTTGTGGGTTAGTGACGATCGGCGTTGTGTTGTGCTTTTGGGAACCTCACAAATCTCACAAGCGAGCATTGTGTCGGCTCTCACGTGCTTGTGTTTATCGCTGGCTTCAGCAGTTAATTTTGTTTTTATTATTGCCGTCCCAGTTAAGTACACAATACGCCTCTTGTCTGTCCCACTTGCTCAAAGAGCGCCATACTCTGTCAGAGTGAATTCGAAGGGGGCTAGAAAAGCTAACACTTGCATACATACATACGTACATACATACATATGTACTTTTGTTGCGGACAACAGCTGATTTTGATTAGGAAGCAACTGAAAAAGCTTAAAAAGGGTTGGCTTCCAAAGCGTAATGTTGATAAGCAAATGTTGTTGAGTCGGCAGTGAGCAGATTACCAGCAGGGTTAGAACCTCTCTGTGATCGTAGTACATTTACTACGCTTTTAGAGCAAATTTGTAAATTACTCATGCGACTACAGTATTTTTGCGCAGAAAACCTTTTCGCGTAGGCGCTGTACATATGCAACTCTATTTCGGACAACTTGCTAGTTATGAATTGCCAATGTTTGACCATGGATATATTACTATATGTATGCATGTACCCTGCAGGGAGCAACGTTAACTTAAACCAAAATTTAGTCTGTTCACGCGAACACGAGTGCTAACTATTAGCCGTATATTTTGTTCGAAAAAAGCTAACTACTTTTGTGGGGCGATGGCCACAAAAAAGTCAGACCTGGATACCTCTGCATTACATGTCAACTAATTTGTAACTATTTACTTTTAGACATAAAATATCAATATAAAAAACATTCTATTAATTTTTATTAATTTAATTTTTTTTTAAATTTTTATTTATTTAATTTATGTTCAACGTTGCATATTTGAGTACATATACTGCAGCAGGTGGTACTATAATGGAATTCCGTCAGACATAACATCAAAATGATAATGTAAAATTTCAAACTTAATTTTATGTGTCCTGCATTCGAAAAAGAATTTGTGAAGTGCAAAATCAAAATGTATCCAAAGCAGTTTTTGTATGAGGATTTTTAAATAGAAACTTGTAAAGAAAACGAGCTCCCGATTGCGTCTGCAGGACTCCTGCACGACTTTACAACTCACTTTAAGTTGGTTTTGTCATAAAGTTTTGTCATAAGTTGGTTATTTTTAACAATTCATAATTTTTCACTGCAGGGTATGTTTGGATGTAGACACATCTAAATAAATATACATACATACAAATATTTCTAATAGCCATTCTTTCTTGGAAAAGGCATACTTTTTTTTTAATTTTTTCTCGATATTAATCGTCGAAAGTAATTTTTAGAATAATTTTTACCTCTCGTTTGCTGGAATATACCATGATTCAATAATGAAAGGTTTTGTAGGAAAAACTTTCTCTCACTCTAATTTTAGGCCCAGTTTTTCAGTGCGGGTTTAACTCTGTTTGTCGTTTAAACTAAGCTCAGTGTGCAGTTTTTCAATTTGGTTTCTCACTTTGGTCAAAGAGTGATTTTCTTCTTTTAGTTGGACATTGTGGCTAAGGCAAGTAGAAATTAGGCTGCAGAAAAACAATTGAAAGATGTCGTTATGCTTTGTTTATACAACATAAAAGCAGGGTCTGTAGTCATCTAAATCTACTACGGAATTTTATTTTCTGCTACAGCTTTTTACGTCATTTACTCCGATTTGGGCTTGCCGCAGTTCTAACCCTGATTACTAGCAGGTTACATCCAAATGCTTGTACATACATTTAATTACATACGTATAAGAATGGGCATATCGAGCCTTAACCGCCAAAATAACGTAAGCGACATTTTTTTCAAAATTTTCTTTTTAATGCAGAAGTATTCCTAGGCCATCTGATGCATTTTCCTAAATGCGATTATAACGGGCTGCTGGCTTGCTGGCGTGATCTTGTATTTTTGGTTCATGGATATGTATTATATCATAGTCTGAATTAGGAATGTTAATCCCGGGATCCCAAAAATCCCGGTACTCTTGGCAAATAATCCCGGAATTTTCGGGATTTGTGATTGGCACTGATGGCAATAAGAGAAACACTTTTCTTGACCAGTATTGCCTATATATATATTTTTTTTTTCATAATTAATTTTTTTTTTTATAAATGTAGCTCATTATACATATAACACCATGCGATAGTAAATTTTACACAAAAAAAAAATCAATATATTCACGACGCCAGTAATTAAAAAATGATTTGAAAAATTCAATGAAATGTGATTAGAGGGAAGTATGGGTATCAAATTAAAGAGGAAATTCTGTAGAATTTAAGCATTTTCAATGTTTTGGTGTATAGCACTAGTATGGTGGACTAGTATGTATTTAAAATGTCCTTTTAAAATTTTATCCTTGAAATTTCAAAATATTTGTTTTTGAATAAACTATATGTTAAGGAGCTATATAAACTCGATAACAGCCACGAATTTCGTCCGTCTATCTCTATCAGCTTCAAAAATTACGTATTAGTCCTTTTGAATCCAAAAAATTTTAATTTTTTTAAATTCAAATTATCTTAAATATCTTTAAAATTACAAAGTACTTTAAAGTAAGTCAGGGAGAAAAAATAAAAACGCCACTTTAAATTAAAAAGTAGGTTTCAAACCCATTTATTTATTAGAGCTTGTCCAACAATATAGAAGGAATTTTTTCGATTTAAGTTGTTGAAAAGTAATGAATATCTAAATACCGGGATTGTGATAACCACATTCTGAAAATCCCGGGATCGTAAAAAGCGAAAAAATTAACATCCCTAGTATGAACCTTAATCCGTACTTATGTATGTAAGTACGTATATATCTACGCATATTGATATGCATGAAATAGAAGAATATACGATACATTTGCACATACATATGTACATATCTACATACCAATGTACATTGGTTTATTCACTGCAGCAAATTCAACTGATACAGAACTCGCGCGGAGCTGGCTCGAAAAGGGGCGACACTGGTTCTTCATATACACATCCCAAAAAATGTGCTTTAAACGGTCTTTTTAACGACGTACTACGAAGTCGCAAATGGCGGGGGCACTGGTTTTGGACTCGTTTTATTTTTGGATATTTTTGTTTTAGTTCTTTCTTCTTTTAAAAATTACATTAGGGTTATTCAGCCAACGTGATAAACTGCCGATGGAAGTGCTAAAATAAATTCCATAAAAATTCATAATTTTATCACGTTTAACGGTCGTTTATGAGTTAGATAAATATTCCTATTGTAATCTATTTCATTATTATTTTTTTTTTATTATATTTCTCTACTTTTTCTTCAATTATGAAGCAGCGTGCAACAATTTAATTTTATCAATTCTCAACCCCGATTTAAACCTGCCCTTGCCAGACTCACTCTAGACAATGAAATGCATCTGGCATACTCCGCTAGACTCGCTGCAGTCGATACTTGTTGTGCGTCAGAGAAAAAACGTGAATAACTTTCGTCTCATTGCATGCCGGAATTTTTTTTTTTTGCAAGTGATTTTTAATAAAATGTATATTAAGCAATTGAGAAGTCACTAATATCTCTTTGAAAATTGTTAATAACTACTACAGATAAATGTACGACAAAAAAAAAGGAAGACTTACCATCATTTTTAGTTGTTTAAAAAATGAGCAGAATTGCTACCAATCGCGCGAAAATAAACAAAATCCAAACGATTTCGAAAATACCTAATAGCTATTACTTTGAAAGTAATTCGATTTTCGAAAAATTTTCTCTTCCACAAATTGTGCGTTTAATGACTGAGATGCATCTAATATATACATAGTATGTGTTTTGATCGACTGTGTTTTTTACATTAATATTGAATTGAATAAATATTTGTATAAGCCTAGTAAAAATCCAGAATTCCTCGCCTATACAAAAACGGCAAAATATCTAGCATGGCTCGCACATATAGCGGATTTGTATAAGCTTTGTGTCGAAACCTGTCCCCCTCTTCACCGGGCTGGATTAGCTTGAGCAGGCTGGCGTCTTTATCTGACGGCAGCAGTATTAGAACTAAATGTGTGAACGTTGTGCTGTAGCCTATAAAAAGAGCCGTGCTTATTTGATCACACCGAATCGAAAAACTTCCACAGTTTCAATGTCACTCACCCCAGAAGCCGTGCTTTAACATGCTGATATGTAGTTCGCTTAGTTTGGGCACCGCTTTCTCGTAGTTTAGTAACTTTAAGCACTTCAGTAGGTGAGTGTGATATATTCGAACGAAGTGATCGAATTCCCAAATGCGCAGATTGCTCACCACCGAGCAGACGATTAGCTCCCATAGATCTTGTGCTGGGCTGCCCCATCTGCATAGTTGGAAGTCCACAAAGCGGATCTGGTTCACCTCGCCACTGGAAGTGTAGTTCAGCATAATATTGCTGGACCAGAAATCTCCATGATTCAGCACCTTAAATTCGCTGGGGTCAGAGTTGAAGCAGCTCATGGCTGCATTAACGAACTGCTCGGCATTTGGCTGAAATCAAACAGTTTTTAGATTTTAACTGTGGCGAATTTTTCTTACGCCTGGATGCTTACAATGCGTTCCACATATTTGTCATAGTCATCTAGGCCCCACGTCGCCATCGCTGCCTTAAAGCTTTGCACGCGCGCTTGATAAGATTTCGATTTTTGATAGTTGGCCGGTAGATAAGTCTTCTGGAACTCGACTGGGAACGCGCCGTGCTTCTCATGCCACATGACGGTCGCTGCATGGAACTCGGCGAGCTTTTCAAGTACGCGCTTCATGTGCAGCATATCGAAGCCTTGAAGCCGGTTGATGTTCCGGAATTTCTTCGTGTTCAAGTCCTCGAGCACAATAGTGGTGCGGCTCGGTTTCTGCTCGATCCATTGACAGTTGGCAGCGAATTTCACTTTCTTGTCGAGGTCATGGTAGAGTTGCTCCAACTCTGGCAAAATGCGTTCATACATAAGCTTCTCTTTCGGAAAGAGATTTAATGCGTTGATGAGTGTACCGCCCTTGTCGTCGTCCAGCGTTGTTTTGACAATATACGCCTTTTGTTGGGTGTATCCATCTGTAAGTTTGTTAAGCGAAGCGGATGTAGATGAACAATATTAAAATAGAAACAAAAAAAAACAAACAAAGCCACACTGCATATATGTATGTATGTATGTATATGTACATATATCCAGAGTTATCATTTAAAGTATATATGTATATATATGTAGACAAGCTTTTAAAAGAGCAGAATTTTCAAAAATGTAATTTTGCATGGATCGGGAGTATTCTAAACTCAGAGCTCGACTACTCCATATGTAGTACGTACATACATACTTCATGCTGATTTTGAAGACAATGACTTTGTAGGTATCTTTTATTACCGTTATTAAAGAACATATGTAGCTACATACCTTTTAGTTCTATATCCATTAGTATGCGCATCATGAGCGATGTGTAGTTCTCGCCGGGCGGTGTGGCCGGAATTACTGTAAGTTTCAAGATTTTTTGAAAGTTTTCATCCTCTTTGTGGAGTATTTTCTCAAAGTACTTCACGTTTATCCACTTGGGGATATCCAATTGTGCATCAGGGTTAAATTTGCTGCTGTTGTCGGGCATGGTTTTGGTGTTTCGCAGTAACCACGTCGATAGGCCTGGCTCTTTATTAAAAAGCGAGCAGTGATCGTTTGACGTGTGACGCCTCCTCTGTATCCTACTGTTGAGCGGTAACTGCTAATCGGAGGCACACAATCGCATTGCGCTTTCGATTCGCTATCAGTTGGCGCAATTCTACGTAGATACTCGTATCTAAGCACCACAGTGTGGTTGTACCACTTTCTGTCCTCGACACTTAGCAGCGCGCTTGTGTTCACATGTACTAAAGTAAATATGTACATACATATGTACATAGGTACATAGGTACACCAATGCGACAAACATACATACATATGTATGTAAATATGCCCACACCCGCTTTTTGGTCAGCCCTCTGTTGTTCAGCGCTTAATAAACTGTTTTACTTGCCCAACGAAATCGCTGAGTCTGAGCAGGGGATCGGGACATTTGTGTACACTTTTTTGTTATTTTCCCGAGAGCACCCGCAAACTTGTTCTCTGTACTTAAATATTTACGCAAAGAGCGGTTTATCAGTTGGCAGGTTCTGTTTTAATTTTTGTGCTTAATATAAAAGCTTTTCTATGCACATATATATATATGTATATATGTATGTATCGAATGAAATGTTTTTTTTTTTGTTTTTATTTGGCAACGAGTATCTGTCTTTCAATTTAACCAAATCTCTCACGATCTGCTGAGAAGTTGTTCTCAATATTAAATAAAGAAGGAATCCGTTGCAGTCTTTGATTTGAAAATAAAATAAGAATATTTGGGCAAAACACAGAGTGGAACGTGCAGTTACGGTTGCCACTTGTTATAAAAATAATCAACCAAAATCTGAAGAAAAAACAACCAAATTGAAAGAAAAACTAATTTTTTATCCACTTCTCTATTACAAAAAGGCAAAACTTAGTACAAAAAAACAGAAATTCAACAATTTTATTGAGCTTGAGGCCGGGTTTTTTTTATTGAAAATTTTATGTAAAAATAACATTAATTTACATTTTGGAAGAAGTTGTAGCTGCTATTTCGGAAATCAAAAATAATTGAAATACTTGTGCGCTCAATCACATACTTACCTTTAATATGTGCATTAGGGTGGTCCAATTTTTGTATTGGGGGAGGGGGGGCGGGGAGGAAAATCATCCTAGAAAACGGGGCACCCTCTCAGTTTTTCCTTTTTGATATTTGTAATATACCAACTTTCAATTTTCTACTGTAACGAATACAAGGTGCTCAATGACTTTGAAATGCGCTACTGGGTCGCTGTGAAACTTGCAAAAATATTGGTGATTTTTATAAAATGCTACTATTGCCACGACAACTGAAGTTTGTGATATTTTTTTAGATCATTTAAATTTGAAATGCTCTTAGGTTGCTGAACCAATTGCTTGATTAATATATGTACTCAATACTTCTGGAGTATATGGAGAATATGAGCATTATGAGCATCCTCTAAATTTATACTTAGAAACGTAAAGTTTGGTAACTGCACCTTTTTCGACAAGAAGAAAAAAATTTTGGAAGGTGCCCCAAGCCCTATCCCGGGAACATTTTTTTTGGACCACTATAATGCATCTACATACATGTTACATTAAAAATAGGAATTTGAAAAATTTATTTATTCATTTTTGGCACCCAGTATGCAATATTACTTTTTGTAAAGAACAAATTTGTTCATTTCTAATTGAAAAACAAACTACCAAACCAGAGAAAAACTACCAAACAATCAACCCAGAAAAGGAAAAATAAAAGAAAAAAAACACCAAGTTTGGTTGGAAACAACCAACAGTGGCAACTGTGCGCGCAGTTTATAACAAGTGTCAATAAAATCAATAGAATGACACATTCTCAAACAAATACATATGCACATTAGGGATGGTCCAAAAATGCATGTGAAAAAGTAAAGTCGGAATTTTTATGGTCTAACCCCCTAGGCTTGTTTTATACCGAAAAAATATAACCTTATTTTTTTATTTTGAAATCAAAAAATATTTAGAGATCGCTCAAAGCGCCCAAAGTTTTGCATGTATTCTACTATATGGGGAAACAACAAATGTTCGTAGAAATGGTATAGAATAGTTAAAAATCAATATTTTTCCCAAATGTTTATTCAACAATTTTTTCATCGCAACTATAATTTATAGGTCCGTCAAGAACCCCGAAAAAACCCCGAAAAATGAAGACCAATAAAAAATAGTTAGTATTAAGAAATGGTCAAATAAACAATTGAGTATTATTATTGAAAGTCTCCTGAAGAGAATCAGAGTTTTCCGATCGAAAAATATTGGTTTTCAAGCATTACAATTCCGACTTTACTGTTTTGGGACCACCCTAATGTGCACGCATACATACATACAAACATATATATGTACACACATAATGAATAAATACCAACGTCTTATTATGGGTTTGCAATTGAACTAAACAAATTCCTAATACACATCCATATGTACATTGGCACACGCTCTTCAAAAGTGTATCAACTCAAAATTTCTCATTTGCCAGAAAACACAAACAACCTTTTTCTGGGCACGTGTTAATCGTCGCACTCGCGTCCCCCGTCGCCACTCCCCTCCTTTCCCAATTATGCAATGCTGTCATTATAACCGTTTAGGAAAAAAATAATAATAAAATAACACTAGTACACTTCTGAAACTGCTTTTTAATGTCCAAGTAATGGGAATTATTATTAGCAAGAAGTTGCTAGTTTTATGAACATTTTATTAATTTGTTAATTTCCGATGCAATTTTCTTCGAAAACTAATATTTTCCATATTATTATGTATATATTTAAATAGGTTTATTCTGTCAATTGCAACTCTAAAAGCACCACAAACAATTATTTTGTTAATGTGAATTACATTAAGCATCATGCCATCAGCTGTTTTTCTTACTAAATAGCAAATAGTTGCTAGTAAAAATTTATCCAGTAAAACTTGCAAGTTCAGCTGTCATTTTTGCTCTTTAAATTTCCCCTCTTTTGCTAGTTTTTTGCAAGTTTTTGCGTACGAAAACGACATCCAGTAAAAAACCAGTAAAATTAGTACTGGATTTTCCGGATAGTGCGTACGTGAACCGGGCTACTGCGTATGGTGTTATTGCATGCACCCCACCCATAGTTACGGTGACCATATTAACCAACGTAAAATAATAGACATTTTTTTCAAAATGATTTGGGAATACATACATACAGCTTGTATGATAAAAGTACTTTCCCATATCGTAATTTAACTCAAATATTTACCAGTTAATTACCCGATTTCGAAAAATGAAGCCAAATCCTTTTCGAACACTTCGCCATCCTTTGCTGCGCGTTTACCATTATTCATACTGCACGCCAAAGCCAGCACCCAGAGGTACAAAATTGGAATTTAATATTCATAATTCTTCGGAGCCTTGATTTTTAAACCAAAAAAAAAATATATTTACTTTGGTGAACATTTTTTATAACATTTCAAACATTCTTTTTTTGTGTAATTTTTTCGCTTTAAAAGAACCATACAATTGTTTTCAACTAGTTTTTGTTATGTATCTAACATTTAATAACTGGAACAGGAGAATAATTTTTTTTTAAATTGCCACTTTTTTGCATTTTGCACCAAAAAATTTATTATAATCAAATAAAAATTCACAAATTAGGCCCAACTGATCTCTTGCAAATATTGTAAGCTTTCATAAAAAAAATCAAATTAAGTGATAAATGAAGGCTCCAGGAACCACTGTGCAACAGGGAGTTTATTGTTCACTTTCAGTGGAACTGGAAACTCAGCATGCAACACGATCCTGGAGACAACTTTCCCTGCGCTTAATAGATTGTACAAAGATTACTGATTAAATAGAAATCCTTAAGTTGGGTGCGAAACAAACTGGCGAAGGGTTTCTTTACATTTTATAAGGGACATTTTTATTTTTCATATTCTGTGTTTAAAAATTTACCTCTGAAAAATGCAGAGCTGATTTAAAGGACAGTTTAAGAAATAAAGGACAAAAGGCGTCCTTTATTCTGAAAAAAATTATAAAGGACAGGGGGTTAAAATAAAGGACTGTCCTTTAAAATAAAGGACGGATGGTCACCGTACCCATAGTGGAATTATACCAGGTGAAGTAATATTAGAGTGAAAAGAAATATTTGAAAACATGCCTATAAAATTTGACTATAAGACAGCGAGAAAGCTGTTTTATTACTTCACCTGTTTATTGCGCCAATCATCCCACCTGTTTGTACCGAGTATACGTTCAAATTTAGGAGTCTGAGAGTAGGTAAAATTTTACTGTTTTTTACATCACTATTTCGTACCATATGTTCGCTTCGTCTTCGTAAACGAAATCCACATTTCAGATATGGTGAAACCAGTGATGATAATTCAGAAATTTTCACTGAAGATAAAACTCAAAACGATATTCTCTGTGTTATATGCTGCGAACAGGAACGGCCACTTTTGTTTGTTCAATGTCATGGCAGAATTATACCAGGTGAAGTAATTCGTGCGAGTAAAAGATTTTGACACCGCCTTATTTGAAAATTGAAAAATTCCCTTTAAAATTTGACTATAAAGCAGCCGAATGACAGAAAATAAAGCGAGAAAGCTGTTTTATTACTTCACCTGTTAATTGCGCTTTGGTTCCATGCAAACAATTTAAGGTTTTCCAGCAATGTTTTCAAAATATTAAAAATCATGCAGAAAAAATTCATACAAAAGCGCTATGTCCAATATGCGGAGCAGTTATTAAAGACGACTCTTTTCCTATATCGACTGCTGAGTGGAAGATCGACCTATCTCGGCAGCCAGTTCGAAAACGCCCTATCTCAAAAATCTTTTCAAGAACGCCCTATTTCAGAATTTTATTGAAAAACAGCGCTATCTCAGAATTTGGTTGCAGAACGCCCTATCTCACTTCAAAATGTATTGAAAATTTGCTGATATGGGGCGTTTTTGAATCGGCAGCTCAGATAGGCCGTTTTTGAAACGAATTCTGAAATAGGGCGTTCTTGAAAAGTTTTTTGAGATAGAGCGTTTTCGAGCTGGCTGCCGAGATAAGTAGGTCGATCTTCCACTCAGCAGTCGATATTTTGTTAAGACTTTTCATAAGTAAAATAATTTTTTGAATATTACTTTCTTCATATACCGCAATTATATCACATTTTGTGTTTAATTGTATTTTTGGAATAAACAAAGTTCTTTTTACTTCTATCAGTAAACTGTGTTTGTTACAAATAGTATAAATAGGCAATGGGAATAAGGCAAAATTTGTTTTATTTCCAACATTTGTTGGATATAAAGCCAAACTCAGATTTTCATTTCACAATTTTCTAACATTTCGCTACACCAGCGAAAGCAAAATTCTGTTCGACACAAAATTCGGTACTTGACGAAAATTTCGACACGCTTGCATAGCTCATAATACGAATTTCACTTACGATCTTCG